CAGAAGGATAGGAAATTCAAGACCTTCAAAAAATAGGAAGAAAGGAAGAGAGGAGGAAGGAGGGAGGGAGGAAGAAAGGAAGGAACGAAGGAAGGAAGGAGAGAGGGATGGAAGGAGAAAGGAAGGAAGGAGGGAAGGGAGGAAGGAAAGATGAAGGAAGAAAGGGACAGAGGAAGAAAGGAGGGAAGGAAGGAAATACATGCCCCCGCCCCTCCAGGGCCCCGCCCACATTCTTGTGTTTCCCTGTCAAAGCCCGTCCTCTTCTCCACGCCCCGCCCCTTTCTTGTCAGCCGGGTTCCACCCCATCCTCCCTCTTTCCATTCCCAGCACAGGCCCATCCTTTCCTTAGGCCCCACCTCTTCCCCAACCCCCTTACACCAGCTCCGGACCTGCCCACCTCCCTCATTTCCCGCCTTGGCCTCTCCTACGTCCCTCCCGCCCTCCTCCTGTCCCGTCCAGCCCCGGCCCCGCCCCTCACTTTTCGTTCCTGGTCCGGTTTCTCGCGCTATTTCCTACAGACCCGGAAGCTGTTCGCTTGGAGTGAAGGTCACGGCGCGACACGTGAGTTTCCCTCTATCTAGATTTGCTCTGCGGTAGGCGGTTCCGCGGCGCTTCAGTGTCTTGTATCGGAGGTTCCTACAAGTCCTTAAAGTTCCCGCACCTTCCCCTCTGCCCCAAGTGAATTCCGACGCCGCTGTGAGAGGCCGGGTCACCCTGTGGGTTAGAGCCTTTCAGAGGCTGGCCCTCAGGGTCCCCCGGCCCGCGGGCCGTGTGAACATCTCCTTCCGTGCCTTTTCCTCTTAAAACCCGGGCGGCCTATGGCCTGGGATTCTGCAGACCCGGCTGACGGGTGAATTGTGCAAGTGAGGGATGCCCGTCCCGCAGCATCCCTGGCGCTTCGGTCCTTGGACCGGACCGGTCCCCACCCCCGGCCTCCCACTCGCCCTCCCCGCTTCCCCGATCCTGTGCTGGGGGAGGTGTCTCGGACCTGCCTTTGACACCCTGAGTTCTAATGTGAAAAATCCCATCCAGACTGCTGTAAAATGTGCTCTTCCAGAGGTGGACATCTCATTCCATTCCTGTTTCTGTGAATGTGTGGGCAAAGGGACTCTGATCCCTGTGAAAGGGATGGAGAGCGACGGAGAGGAGTTAAGAAAAATTAAGAGAAAATCCCATAAATAGATGGCAAAGTAGAGGACGAATGGGCTGAGAAATTTTCCGAGAGAGTAAGAGTAAAGGAAAAAGCGAAGAATGTCTCAACTGTGGTAACTAAAGCAGCCATAGACAGTGTGTAAAACAATGGGTGTGGCAATATTCCAGCAAAATTTTATTTACCAAAGAAAAAGGAGAAGTGGCCAAGAAAATTGCAGGGCTGAAAAGCAAATAGAGAAATTTAGAATCCTGAGACATGAAGAACAGTAAACTAGGGAGGGGGCAAGAAAGGGTGAGACACTTTAGACACCATGGAAGGAGAGGAGAAATGATTTTCAGCCACAGCAGGTAGAGCATCTTGGTGTCTAGACAACAAGCAGGGCTACAGGTGACAAGGAGAGTGGAGGAAGTCTAGGAATATGGAGTCCAGAGAGGGGTGCAACAAGCAGAGAGACAGTGTGAGTTGGGGAAGAAAGAAGCAGAATTGTGTAGAGATTGGGGACAATCAAAAGACTGGGGTGAAAGACCATCAAGATGTTAAAGAGTTACAAGAATGGGGCAGAACAGGTGTGAGGGAAGGAATACAGTGAAGCAGGGAGAAACAAAAGGAGAGGAAAGCAGAAACTCATTAAAGAAGAAAAAGGGGAGGGGATGCTAGAAAGAAGGTGAGAATGAAAGCACACAATGAGGGAGGGAATCACAGAGTAATGGATGGGGAAGAGGACTCTATCCAGATGAATGTAGTTTTTTGGATATCATGATTAAGTTGTGAATATGTGGATTTCTGTTTTTATACTCAACAAATTTAAATTTTGTGTATTTGAATTATACAAGTAAGAAAGAAAATGCAAAACTGTTCATAAGCCTTGTGCATTTTATAATTGTTAACATCAGAGAATAGCTTTGTTTTGCCATCTTATCAGCAGGGACTTGACTTAGTAATTTTTTTTTTGTGATACTGGGGCTTGAACTCAGCACCTTACACTTGCTAGGCAGGCACTCTACCACTTGAGCCACTTGCCAGCCATTGACTTACTCAGTTATGGGTCACCTTCCTCTGTTTTCCTGGACGGTGTATTGTTTGGGGAGTGTGTGAGATGGAAGCGAAAACCACAGTATGCTTCCTGATCTCATGCTCGGTACCACTCAGCACAGAATACTTCACCTCTGGTCAACTAAATGCGTAGGCATTTCTCCCCACCAGCAAGCAGTTCTCTGACAGACACCAATATCTAATTTAATTCAGATCTCGCAGTTTCTACCTGGAGATAGCATCAGATCCCGCAAGGTTGAGTTCTTAGTCCCACAACACTGCCTCTGCTTTGGTTCCCAATGGTATGTCCCAAGATGGGACTTGAACTTGTCATCAGTTGGCTGTAAGTCAGGGATTTGCATGACTCCATGCTCAGGTTCTATTAATTTGCTAGAGTGACTCACAGCACTCGAGGAAACACTACTTAGGCTTGTGTATTTCTTATAAAGGAAATCACCAAGATCACAGATGAACAGCCATCCTAGCAAATTAATTAAACCAGGGCAGAGGTTTTAGGAACCCTGGTTTTTATCTATTTAGTTAAATGCATAGGTGACAGCAACTTCTTGTGTACACATCTGAAGTGAGGGACAGTCTTGTTGGCCTGAAGACTTAACCTGTAGTATGTGAAACTATCACTAAGTAAACTGTCAGAAGTAGAGTTAAATGTGGGACACCAAGCTGGGAGTTTGCCAGAGAACTGACGCGTGTGAGAAAAATCACAGGCATTTTGGTGAGTGGAAGTGCAGCCTTCTGTGTTGATGGTGAGAGTAACAGAAACATACCAGTTTTTTCCCATCTCAGACAGGAAAAGGAAGAGATTGGCCAACTGGCCCAGCTCCTTTCTCAGTATTCTACTCAGTATTGACCTGATTTATCTGTCCCTGCCCCTAGCTGTTGCTGACCCTGCAATTGTACACCACTTTGCTGAGGTATAGTGTGGCAACCTTCCTTCACTGCACCATCAATTTTAACCACAAGGGAATTATTTTGGCCACCATTCCCGATGGAGGTATTCTCCATTTAAACACATACAGCTGGGCATGGTGGCACATGTCTGTTATCAGCATGAAGGAGGCAGAGGCGGGAGGATCTTGAATTCTAGGCAAGCCTGGGTTACATATAAGTTCAAGACCAGCCTGAGCTATATAGTGAGACCCTGTCTCAAACTTATGTACACGCATGCACACAAAGTCTTCATTTACCTTCCACTCTTCTCTCTTTAATACAAATAATACTGTATTAACTACATTTCTCCCTTTAATATGTATTCTCTTCTGCTATATTTAAGAGCAGAAAACTTATTTATACTCTGTCTTCAGTTTTCTTCTCTAATTCTAGAATGACCTCTTCCTCAAGCTTTCACATCCAGCTTCCTGATACTTTCTTTTTCACAGTCACCCCTGACCTCCCATTTCTAAATCCAGTATTTCATTTCCTGTTCTCTCTCTCTTTTTTCTGTCAGCAGCATATTGCACAGTTGGTAACACCCTCTTCTCTTTTCTTAGCTTTGAGGTCACCCCACCTGTCTTTCAAATTTTATTTGCTTTAATTTTTTTGTGTGTCTGTATAAACAATTCAGAGTTTCTTCTGCTGGTGTCTCCTAAGTCCTGTTCTCTGAACTTGGGGGTGTCCCTGCCTAGCCTGGAACCTCTTCTCAGCTCTGTCTGTATCCACTGCCTTTCCTTGTCATCTCCTTCATGGCTTTGATACCATACACATATCTCCATTTCCCCTGGAGACATTTTCCATGAACCTAGGATCCTGTGTCCAGGTGTCTCAACTCTGCTGGGATCAGCATCTCCACCTTCATGGTGCACATGTGACTTCCTAAGCTCCTGAAATACCTCCTTCTGTACAGTCCTCAACATGTTAGATTATGGTGACCATGTACTTCCTGATACTTAGCAGAATACCTCCATATATATTTAAAATATAGACTATATTTAATTTAAAATAGAAAATACATGTTTACTTCAGATGGCTGAGGCGATATGGCATTTCTAAAATTCTCCTGAAATGTGGGAAAAAAATGTTAGGAGACTTTTGACTTACCTGCTCTGCTTCCCACAGTCCCTCTCTGCCCTCATCTCTTGCTGTGTCCTCTTCCATCACTCCCTTGAAGGTCTCTTTCCTTTTCCTGATTTCAAGGTTCCTCCTGCATCAGGGTCTTCACTTGTTTCTGTCCCTCTGCCTGGAATACTTTGTCTCCTCAGCTGCAGGTAGCAAAGAGCCTTTCTGCCTCAGGTCTTTGTTCTGGTAAGACCTCCATGGAGACGTGTATGAGCTCCCTATCTGCCATTAACATTCTAGCTATACCATCTCTCCCACCTCTGGCCCATTTGACTGCTCTGCATATTTCTTCTTTTAACAGCCCTCTCTCAGGATACAGGTGACAACAAGGACCCATGGGGAGAGTAGAGCCATAGGGTGGAGATGGGCTGGGCTTGCCCTGTGGGTAGTCCTCAACTCTGGCTTCACATGAGAGCACTAAGGTATTTTCTATGTATATATCTTAATGAGATTTACCCCCTTACCAGGGTTTCCTATTCACATTGTAGGTTGGGGCCCAGCCTTAATAATATTTATTCTGTGTAATGTGTTCTGTGTGCAGCATTGAGTATCAAGAGTCTGTCATCCATTTCTGAGGGCCGAGGTCAGCCTATGATCCACACAGTACTGACGGGGGATTGGGTCTATGCTGTGAAGAGGAGGTAAGTGCAGCTCAGCTCTTCACTACTGTTTGTGTGTGTGTGTGTGTATGTGTGTGTATGTTACACTGCTAACCAGAAGGGAAGTGATTTCTGAAGGAAAGTCAAGAAGTCTGAAGTTGGTCTTTCTGTAGGACTTTGTTGTCCCTGCCTCCCTGTGGTGCTGTAGGCAGCAGAGGACCATCTTTCCAAATGGTGAGGTCACTCCTGGGCGTGTAGGTGCAGCACAGGAAAGGTGTTGTGATTCTGAGCATTAAATAGTATGATTTCTACATTCAGGGTTAACTGCTAAAGACTGATGTTACCTGAGGAGGAAGCCCAGAGAAGGAAGAAGAGGAAAGCAAAGGAGCCTGTGATGGCTCTTGCTCAGGTAAAGTGATGATCTCTGCTGACTGTTCTGTGTCTCCTTCCTTTCTAAAGTGCTGGGCATGGGAGCTGCTGATGTCCTCTGACTTCAGGCTCCTGCCTGACATGTTTGCTCACACTCACCTGTGCCTTCCCTCAGCCTCCCACTTGATTCCATCTTACTGTGATCCAGTGACATGAAACTTGAAAAGGCTCTACTGGGTGTGGTTCTGGGAAGCATCTGTCAATTTTGTTAATCTTTTTAAAAAGTTAACTTTGGTTCTAATATCTTGTGCATGCTAGGCAATCACTCTACCATTTGAGCCACACCCCTAGCCCTAATTTCTTTTCATAGGTCTGGAACTGTCTTTTAGGTGCTGTGATGTATTTGCTACTGGAAATGTAGGAAGTTTCCTGTGTACATGTGTGTTGTATATATACATATGTTTAATAAAATATTTTTATTTCCTTTGGTGGTTCTGGGGTTTGAAGTCCTTCTGTTTGCTAGGCAGAGTCTCACCACTTTAAGTTTTATGTTTTTTAATGGTAGGACCTATTTCTTAAATATTTTCATTGGCTTTAAATTTGTTGTAACCTGTCCTGTTAATGCATTGACAGTCATGAGAATATGAATTACGTGCATGCATGTGTGTGTACACATGTAATGACCTTTCAGCAGATGCATGATGTTAACTTGAACTTGTTTCCACTTTTCTTACTTAGGAAGTCTAATGTCAATTTACTTTTGATGCTGTGTCTGTTACATAAATGTTTAATTCTTTAGGTTCAATTCTGATTCCCAGACACCTGGCTTCATGGGTTTGTTCTGCCAGTTTTAACTCTTTGAGGCAAGGATTGGGGGTTTGTTTGTTTGTTTCTGGAGATAGGGTTTTGCTATGTAGCCCATGCTGATCTCAAACTTGTGATCCTCCTTTCTCAGCCTCCTTGTGTGCTGGGAGAGAAAAATTTCTTAAGAGTATCTCCTATACAGTTTCCTTTGTCATAAGATGGAACATTTATTTCTCTTGTGGGCTATTAAGTTATTCTGTAAGCTAGTTGATTTAAAGCAATTAGAATAATTTGTAGCAGGACTAGGGACATGGCTAAAGTGGTAGAGTGCCTGCCTAGCAAGCAGGCACAGGGCCCTGCTTCAAAGCACCAAAAAAAAAAAAAAAAAAAACAAAAAACATGAGTAGCACATGCAAGTACCCAAAAACTTTAGTTATTATTGTCACCTTCATCATTGTGCTTTTTAGATTTTGATCTTCTTTAAAGTCACTGTGGACTTTGTCTTCTCAGAATACACAGCTCCTGCCCTAGCTCATCGGTATGCTGAATGTGACTCAGTGTATTGAACCTAACATCTAACACTTTCATAGAGATAAGCCTCTGTTGATTTTTATTTGTATGTTTCTTGTATTGTCCACAAAATGAGAAGTCCATACTGACTTAGAGGGTGTCATAAGCTCTGATCCAAAAGTATAATAAAACACAATTAGATAAAGAAACTCAAAAATACCTAATGAATGTGAGGAAATAGGGAAAAAAACCTCAGTTTCTCCTCTTTTTTGTGTGTGTGATGCTGAGGATTGGACCTAAGATGTAATGTTTGCTGCTATGCAAGCACTCTACCACTGAGCTGCACCCTCAACCCATTTTTCCATTTATACATTCATCACACAAGGGTTTTGTGAACCCCTAGATGTGTGGGAATTTGTCCCAACATGCCAGACAAGCAGTTTTTCGGAGGACACCCTTCTGACACTCTATGTAGGAATAGCTAGATCGCATTGGCTAATGGCTCAGTCCCACAAAAGTGCCTCCACTTCACATGCCAGTTGCAAGCACAATGTGGGCTATGATTCTGAACAGCCACCTGTAATTGGAGTTCCCACAATCTTCAGGTTCAAATAATTTGCTAGAGAGGCTCATAAAACTCATTGGAACTCTACACTTAGTCTTACCATTTATTATAAAGCTTGTTAACAAGGATACAGATGAACACTCAGATGGGAGAGATGTGTAGGGTGAGATATAGGACGAGGAGCATGATGCTTCCAGGCCTTTTCTGGTGTGATAGATGACACTCATCAGCTTCTGTGAACTCTTTGGTGTCTTCACTCTGCTGCACAGCAAAGGCCATTTCAGAGGGGTCTCTTCCTCCTTTGACTCTCCTTTTGTTCTTGATTCCATCTCATGCTAATTGTGTATTTCTTAACATCATCTGTGTGGATCTGGCTCACTCATCCATCAAATCAGTCCATGCAGTTCATGCCCCTTCTGATTTTAAGTGAAAACTATAACTCCCCATTGCCCCATTGTGCTTTTTTATTTTAGGGGCAGTTGACATTAAGGGATGTGGCTGTAGAGTTCTCTGAGGAGGAGTGGGAATGCCTGGACCCTGCTCAGAGGACTTTGTTCAGGGACGTGATGTTGGAGAACTACAGGAACCTGGTCTCCCTGGGTGAGGATGAGTTCCCTCCAGAAGTCGGGATCTTCCCTGTGTATCTACATTTCCCTCTGTGTCTTCACAGAATCCTCTGTATTGCATAATTGACACTGAAGCCCTGTTGTCTCTGAAATGAAAAGCATCACAATGTGGCCTCTGGACTTTAGCTGTCCCTTTTCTTCAGATGTTCTGCCCCCTTCATGACACATCATTGGTGTTCCAAAGCTGAAGTGTCATAAAACCTATGGCAGACTTTTAGAATATTCACTTCTCTGTTTGCTGTCTTTGTGCTTTCATTTCATTGGTTCTTGGAAGAGACCTCAATATCTGCATATTACAGTGAAATATTTTCAGGATCATTCTGTAATGTCCTCTTTCTCAAGTAAATATAGGGCTGGGTTTTGGAAATACCATGCACTTCACATTCTTTTCTTTTTTCAAGCAGGAATCTCTCCTTTTGACCTGAGTGTTGTCTCCATGTTGGAGCAAGGTAGAGAGCCTTGGACTGTGGATGGCCATGGGAAAATATCAAGAAACCCCAATGGGTGGGAGTGTGTCAAAGGCATGAACACAGGTAAGAGCTCAGATGGGCAGAGAGAAAGCTGTACTGTTTGAGAAACTTTGAAAGTAAGAGAGGTCTGGGAGAAAATGTATTTCTTATGAGCTGTGAAAGGAAATTTCCCCATTATCACTCTGTTCTTCAGGCACGTCAGTGTTCATCCGATTGCTCAGAGACAAACGCAGAGTTTCTGGTGTGGTGGATGATGCTGACATCACTTTATAATGAATTCTGGTCTCTTCACTCTGTGGTACACAGCAAAGGCTGGCAGAGGGGTCTCTTCCCCCTTGGATCTCCTTCTGTTCTTGATTCTATCTCATGCTGAGTTGTCCATCTTCATTCATCGGAGCTGAGACCTCCATCATCTTACTCCTGGACTTCTGTGTTTCACCCCATTCTCTGTGCTTGGAAGACCCATTCAGGACATGGGAAATGTTGAGTGCCCTTCCTTTGCAGTTAGGACACCAGAAATTTCCCAGAGCTCACTCTACCCTGTCTGCCTGAGCAGTTCCTTTAGCATTTTCTTCTATTCTGCTTTTAACTCATATCTCAAGTAGGTCTGATGGGAGTCTGTTGGATTTTCTGAGATTGCTACTCAGCAGAACTATCATAAAGACAGTTGACAGAAAGGTCCTCTCTTGGATCCCAGTCCTGTATCAGGAGCACATTTCAGTTCTTTAGGCTCTTAGTGTGGTCTCTTCTTAAAGTCCCACAATATCTGACACCCTTGTTGGAATTTTCTCTGTCTTCCGCCTCTCTACTCTGCATATAGAAAAGTCTTAGCTTTTCCTGATTTCCTACTCTCTTACTATTTGGTGATTTTGCCTTTGAAATTTATTTTTGATATGCAAATTCCTAGGATCTGACATGTCCACTTGTTTTTCTACTGTAACAACCTGTCTTTAGGTTACCTGCAGATTCTTGTCGACTGTTGCATAAAGTGCATTTACAAAACAGAAAAGTCATGAGTCAGAACAGTCTGCTTAATATGTTTCAGTATCATCCCACCATATGTCAGATGCTCCTGGACACCCTGAGTGAGGTTGTCAGCATGTCCCAGGATATCGAGATACAAAGGGTCAGTAGAACCTGACTGAGCTGTGTTTCCAGCTGTCTTCTAGTTTTTGAGGACTGTCACAAGAGTATCTTTCTAGGTCAGCAAGACAGTATTGGTTACATAAGTTAATGAGCTAGCAATTAATGATGTAGGAAAATCTTAGCAAGAGCAAGACCCAAGTTCACAAACTATTTGTTATCCCCTATGTGTGCCATTGTTTATTTTCAATGATGAACCATGTTTTAAGTTCATTTAGCAAATACGATTTGGGTACATCCTACCAAGAGAGCCTTTGAAGTTGAATGAGGCTTCCACTTTTAAATCTTTTTTTTTTTTTATTCTTTTTTTCAGTGCTGGGAATAGAACCCAAGGATTCATAAATGCTAGGCAAATGTGCTACCACTGAGATGTACCTTCAGCCCCTATTATCATTTTTTTAAGGCAGTACTTTCATCTTCTACCTTTCCATGTGTTATAAATGAACTTATCTTTTGTGGTCAACCAAGATTTAATGTATTTAATTAACATATTTTTGGTGATACTCATAATGTTCTAGAATTGTTCTACCAGAGTATCTATTGATTTTAGAAGATTTTCTTCTTTACTATAGAAAGTATAGCTTGGTGAGCCTTCTCTAACACCTGTACAAGCTCCAGAACTTTTTGAACAGATGGTCTTAATCAGTCCTTTTATTTATGTTTCATCTGACTTCGAACCTACCATTAAAAGTACACTTTAGTCAGTTAAATTTTTTATTTTTAAATTTGGAATTTTTTGATAGCTTTATAGCATGTTTTTCCTTTTATTAACTTGTTTTATTCCTAGAAATACCACTAAATAGACATTCCTTTATTATTTAAGATATTTTCCTATATTATGTTGTCAGTTTCATAAACATAACTGCCGGGTTCTAGTAACAGATGCTGGAAATATCCAAAGTTGATTTCCCTGTGTGGATTCATTGTAGCAATCTTGGTATTTAATATTTAAATATCTCTACTAGTGTTTGATTCCACTTTTGTTTTCTACACAATCTTTAAAGTTCTGGAAATTGCATTCTTGAGTTTCATATAGGACAACTGTTTTAGTCCTTGTGTCCCTTTCATCTGAATTTCCTGTGGCATTCACCTGGTCCCTATTACCTTACCTCCTGGTACTGTCCTGTTCCCTGACCACCTCTCTGTGCATCGACCTCTTTGTAGGACTCTATACCATTGCCCAAAAGTATTTCTGCGTTTGCTGCCACTGAGAGCACCTTTCAGTGCAAACCATCTCCACTGCTGATCATTTGCTTATTTTCTTCATAAGGCTATTGTGTTCTCATATCTATGAAGTCATATGCATTAATTTTGGGGGAGTGTATGTGAGTGTTCATTCATTCATACTAACGGCTGTGTACATAAATACACACAGTAGTAGTATCAATAATGTCCTATCTCTTCTTGTTTTATCAAATAAATTTTATAATATTTTACATTGTATATGGTCAGTAGGGTTCAAATATACCACATTTTTCTTGTTGCTTGAATTTAATTCCGTTGATTCCAATGAAGATTTAAACTCACTTTTCCCTTATTTCCCATCTCTTTTCTACCACTTGCAACTACCATCCTGCCTTCTGTTTCTGTGAAGTTGACTACTTATATATTTCATATATGTGGAATCATAATATTTGTATTATATAATTAAACTTATTCATGTAGCACAATAGTCTCCATATTTATTTACATTGTATCATATAGCAGGATTTCTGTCTTTGGTCTTTATAAGGCTAAATAATGTTCCATTGTATGTGTGCATTAATCTGTTTTCCATTGCTACAACAAAATACCTGAGGCTAGGTAATGTATAAAGAAAATTTCATTTGGCTCACAATTTTGGAGGCTAAAAGACCAGGATCAGGTGGCTGTATTTGTTTAACCTGTGATGAGAACTTCGTGGCAGATGGATGGCATCATGGCAGGAGCAAGTATGGAAGAGATCTGATGGTGAGACCGAAAACCAGAGAGCTTCAGGGGTCAGGCTTGCTCTTTTATATCAAGATACTCTCACGAGAACTATACTAACTTGCACTGTGGGACCAGCATTAATCCCTTTTGAGGGCAGCACCCCCAGTTAGCTATTTTCCTGTCCCCAGGCTCCACCTCTTAAAGATTCTGCCATCTCCAAACATCATCACATTAAGGATCAAGCTTAGGAGATGAGCTACACAAAAATGTTGCAATGTTTCTGCCATATTTTGCTGATTCCTTATTTGCAGTGGCCATTTGGGTTGCATCTTCCTCTTGGGTACTGTGAATTGGTGTACACATTTCTCTTCCAGAATGTTTTCAGTTCTTTTGGGTATATACCCAGAAGTAGAATTACAGGTTCATACAATAATTCAGTTTTTAATTGCTTGAAGAAATACTTATTTTCCATCATGGCTTCTTCAACCTTTTATGTTCATATCAACAGGGCTCAAAATCTCCCATGTCTCCACATCCTTGCCAACACTTTCTTAATTTTTGTTCTTTTGGTTTTTTGAGACAGGATCTCATTGTGTGGTGTAGCCCAGGCTGGCCTCGAACCTTTTTTTTGTGGTACTGGGGCTTGAACTTAGGACATACTCCTTGAGACACTCCACTAGCCCTTTAATTGTGATGAATTTTTTCAAGATAGGGTCTTGCAAACTATTTGCCCTGGCTGGCTTTGAACTGCCGTCCTCCTAATCTCTGCCTCCTGAGTAGCTAGGATTACGGGCATGAGTCACTGGTGCCTGGCATGGCCTTGAACTTTTGATCCTCCTGCCTCAGCCTCCTGAGTGCTGGTATTACAGGTGTGTTCCACCATGCCCAGACTTGCAGTCTCTTGCTGTGTTTTTTAAATTGCATTTCCCTAATGATTGCATTCATCCTTCCATGTTCTTGTTGGTCATTTGAATGTCATTGCTGGAGGTTTGCCACTTGTAATTGGATTTTTTTGTTGCTACTGACTTGTGGAAGTTTTTTTTATATATTTTAGTATTAACCCTTATCAAATATATAATTAAAAATTTTTTCCTTATCTGTAGGTTTTCTTTTCACACAATTGATTATTCCTGCACATTTTTAAACTTTGGTGTAGTTCATTTTATGTATTTCTACATTTTTGTATCATATTCAGGAATATCATTATTGAATTTAATGTCATAATCCTGGCTTTTTTTTTTTGGTGATTATGGGGTTTGAACTCGGCCTTGTGCACTTTACCCCTTGAGCCACACCCCAAGCTCCTTAAAATCTTCAGTTTAAGTCATGAATCATTTTGAGTTAATATTTGCGTATGGTGTAAAGTAAGGATTCAACTTCATTCTTTTGCATATGGATAGCCAGTCTTCTCAGTACCATTTACTGACTAGATCATCCTTTCCTCATTATATGGTCTTGGCATATAAAGATTACATGATGATATTTGTGAGTTTCTTTCTTTCTATTCTGTTCCAGTGGGTTATATGTCTGTCTTTATGTCAGGACAGCATTGTTTTGAATAATGGAGCTTTATAATAAATTTTGAAATCATAGCATAAGACCTCCAACATTGTGGGATTTTTCAAGTTTATTTTGCTATTGTTGATGTTGTGCTAGTTCCTATCAATTTTAGGTTGGAGTGCCATTAGTATTTTGCTGAATTTCAATGAATTTGTATATTGCTTTGTTATTGACAATTTACAATATTAAATCTTTTAATTTATGAACATGAGGTTTCTTTGCAGTTATTTGTATCTTTTATTTGTTTCAGCAACGTTTTATAGTTTTCAGTCAACTGATCTTCCTTTTGACCTGAGGGAATAAAGCCTCTTTCTACATATTTTTGATACCATTGTTAATGGAAATGGTTTTGTAATGTCTTTTGGTTTGTTCATACTTAGAAAATATGAACAGAACTGATATTGATGTTGATTTTATATTCTGCAACTTTACCAAATTTGCTTAATTAGCAGATACATTCTTTTGTGGAATATTCAGGGCATTCAAGACTATGTCATCTGTGAACAGAGAAAATTTTCTGCTTCCTTTTCAATAGCATGCTTTTTTTTTTTTTTTTTTTTTAAACCTGGCTGTTCTTGCTACAATTCCAGTACTATGTTGCGTAGATGTGGGGCAAGCAGGCTGCCTTATGTTTTTATTTTAGAAGAAGAGCTTACCATTTTTCAGTATTAAGTTCCTTCTGAGCTTTTCCTCTATGTTCTTTGTTATGTTGAGGTAGAGTCCTTCTTTTCCTAGTGCTTTTAGTGTTTTTGTCACATAAAGGTACTGGCATTTTTCAAAATGATTTTTCTAATTCAACTGCTATGATCACATAGTTTTGTCACTCATTCTGCCATGATGGAGAAAACATTGCTTTACAGTCTTACGTTCTGGGAATAAATCCCATATGGTCATGGTTTATGTTTTTTTTTTTTAAAAGTGCATATTTTTTATATTTTTATTTTTTGGTAGTACAAAAGTTTAAACTCGGGGCCTTATGCTTGTGAGGCAGGTGTTCTACCATTTGAGCTATCTTCAGGCAATTTGTAGTATTTGTTGAGGATTTTACACAGATTCTTCAGGGATATTGGTCTTTAGTTTCTTTGTATTGTCTTTGTGACGTGTTTCTCTCAGGGTAATACCACCTCATAGCACAAGTATGGAAATGTTTGTTCTCTCTTCCTCAGGATTTTGGAAGAGTTTGAGGAGCGTTGGCATTTATGCTTCTTTTAAGTGTTCAGTAGAAAACCAAGTTTGCACTGTGGTACGTGCCTGTAATCCTGCAATCAGGAGGCTGAGACAGAGGATCAGTCCCCACTGCTCTTAAATCAGTTTCTTTCACCTAGGTCAGTCAGCTTTTTAGGTTTACTGCTTCCCTGCTGCCAAAGTAGCTTTCCCCAGACATCACTTCTCTTATTTTTCTTTGCTATCAGCTCAGGAAAGGTGAGCAACACCACTGGAGAGGAAATACTTATTAGGGCTTGATGTTAAAACACCAGGAGGTCAGCAAGGAGGGTGTCTCTCAGCAGATTATGGCACCATTGTTCCTGGGTCAAGGTTTTTTAAATACATTAGTGCTGTGAAATAATTAATAATGCATTGGTTTTTAGCTAGTCGTAATAGCACACACCTATAATACTGCCTTTCAGGAGCCTGAGCCAAGAGGATCACAAGTTCAGTGTTAGTGAGATACATATAGAGACCCCATCTGGAAAAAAAAAGAAATGAGAGATATTTCTATAGTAAATACCCAAATTTCCTTTTTGAAAATAAGACTTAACCTTCAGTTGTGTTAATGAAATGTTCCTTTTCATGTCTCGTTCACGTCCATCTGCCATTAGTATGTTCAAATCACCAAAATTTATTTCTCATCTGTCTGGGACCCGAGAAGTCTATGATCAAGGTTCCCATTAAAGTAGATTATAGTGTGAGTGTTTTAGTCACAATTTGTTTGAAATTAGGCTTTGCTGAGAAAATTTTGAATTTTATATAATTAATTCTTCCTTATTAAAAAGTGCTGTTCCTTTTGTGTTCCTAAGTATTAATTTTTGTGAATAAATAGAATTTATTTTCTATCTGTAAGTAATCATAAACACATGGTTTCTTATATCTTGTAGATATCTCTCCTAAATGTGTCAAGGAATTTCCACTGAAAGAGAACAATATTACAGGAGAAATATCCCAAGCAGTGATGTTAGAAACACATGAAAACCATGACATTGAAAAATTTTGCTTCAGGGAAATCCAGCAAAATATACATGACTTTGAGTATCATTGGAGAGATAATGAAAGACCTTACACAGAATTTTGTTTGACCCAAAAGGAAAATCTCGCAGGTAGAAGGGATACAAGAAAAAAGCATATTAAAAATTGGCTTGGATTAAATTTTCAGTCACATGTGCCGGAACTGCAGCTATTTCAAAATGAAGGGAGCATTTATGAATGGAATTATTTTGAGGAGTCTATCAATGATGGTTCCTTAGCTTCACCCCACCAAAGAATTCCTTCCAGTGTCAAAACAAATATTTCTCATAAATATGAAAATGATTTTATAGATTCTTTGATATTCACACAAGGACAGGAAACACATATTATTACAGAACCTTACAAATGGAATGAGCCTGGCAAAGCCTTTAATCATGACTCACCCTTTACTGTGCGTCAGATAATCCATACTGGAGAGAAACGATTTGTATGTGATATATGTGGCAAGATCTTTAATCAGAAATCAAACCTTACAAGTCATCAGAGAATTCATACTGGAGAGAAGCCATACAAATGTGATGAATGTGGTAAGTTGTTTAGTCATATTTCACATCTTGTACAACATCGGAGAATTCACACTGGAGAGAAGCCTTTCAAATGTTATGAGTGTGGCAAAGACTTCAGTCACAAGTCATATCTAGCAAATCATCAGAGAATCCATACTGGAGAGAAACCTTATAAGTGCAACGAATGTGGCAAGTTCTTCAATCAAATTTCACACCTTGCAAGTCATCGCAGAATTCACACTGGAGAGAAGCCGTACAAGTGTGATGAATGTGGAAAGGTATTCCATCAAATTTCACACCTTGCACAACATCGAACTATTCACACTGGAGAGAAACCTTTCAAATGTGATGAATGTGGCAAAGTCTTCAGTCGCAATTCATACCTTGCACAACATTTGATAATTCATACTGGAGAGAAACCTTACAAATGTGAGCAATGTAGCAAAGTCTTCAGTCACATTTCACACCTTGCACAACATCGGAGAATTCACACTGGAGAGAAACCTTTCAAATGTAATGAGTGTGGCAGTGTTTTCAGTCATAAATCATCTCTGGCAAATCATCAAAGAATCCATACTGGAGAGAAGCCTTACAAATGTAATGAATGTGGCAAAGTGTTCAGTCGTAATTCATACCTTGCCGAACATCTGCTCATTCACACTGGTGAGAAACCTTACAAATGTAATGAGTGTGGAAAGGTCTTCAGTCGCAATTCACACCTGGCATGTCATCGTAGAATTCATACTGGAGAGAAACCTTACAAGTGTAATGAGTGTGGAAAAGTCTTTAGTCAAAATTCATACCTCTCATGTCATCGAAGAATTCATACTGGAGAGAAACCTTACAAATGTAATGAGTGTGGCAAAGTCTTCAGTCTAAACTCTTCCCTCGCACATCACCGGAGGATTCATACTGGAGTGAAATCTTAGAAGTATCTTCAGTCAAAACTGACACCTTGCACATCACAGCATTTATGATGGACAGAAACCTACAAATGTAATGAGTGTGGTGAAGCTGTTAGGATGCATTTAAGCCTAACTGAACATGCAATCTGCACTCTCCTTTGCATTATCACTGAAGGTGACAGTTGCACATCATTAGAGATTTCATCCTGGAATGATCGTGTACAATGGATGAGGCAAAACCTTCTGTCTGTGCCCAAGCCTTGTAAGATCATTGGAGAATTCCTGCTGGAGAGATACTTTCCATTTGTAATGGAGGAGACCACCCTTTAGTTTTTCTTTGAAACTTACTAACTATAAGTTAATCCATAGGGGAGAGAAATCTTAACAGTTTGAATGTAACATGGCCTTGAGGTGAAATTGACATTAGGATTCACCAAAGAATTCATGCTGGAGGGCTGAACATGGAGGCACATACCTATAATCCCAGCTACTTGGAAGACAGAGACAAAAGGCTCATGGTTTGGGGCCAGCCAGGGCAAAAGTGAGATCCTATGTAAAATAAGTTGGGCATTGTGGTACATGCCATAATTCCAATTACTCAGTAGGCAGAGATAGGAGGATCACAGTTTGAAGCCAGCTGTCTCAGCTACCTGAAAAACAAAAGTGGAATGATTGATGGCATGGCTAAAGTGATAAGAGTGCTTGGTGCAAGACCGTAAGTGCAGTCCCCAGTACCCTAAAAAGGAATTCATGCTGAAGAGAAACCTCACAAATGTATGCACTTTATCCATAGTACAACTCAGATAATATATCCTGGAAAGGAACTTCAGAAAAATGTAAAGAATTTGTACATCCGATCTTCAGTGCTCAGACCTCAGAAGACATCAGATAATCTGTACTGGAGAGAAACCATAGAAGTGTAATTAACATGCCAAGGTCTTCTCGCACAATTCACACCGTGGAGAGTTCATTCTTGGGAGATACTTTACAAATGTCATAAGGATGGCAGACACTTCAGTATTGGTTCAAGCAATAGTCAGCACTACAGATTCCACGCTATAGAGCAACAATTGTGAAAGCATAATGCATGTGACAGACTTCCAGGCCTCAAAATCCACTAAGCATCAAACAATACATCTTTGAGGAAGCTCTATAATGTGTACACTAAAGTTTTTGTACATGCATCACACTGGAACTGTGTTTGAACTGGAAAGCAACCATACAAATATGTAGCATAATCTTTTGTCAGATGTTCAGAACTTTGTTGTGATGAGAGGATTTATTCTGGAAAGAAACCAGACAAATATACTGAACATAGGAAGTTCATTTGTCACAAGTGTGAGCTCAGTATTCACCGAAGAATTCATAATAGAAACAGCTCTTTCAAATGTAATGATGTAGTAAATTATTTAATTCTTACAACATATTCTATATTAGAAAATTTATATGAAAAACAAATAGATCTCTAAATCCCCAAGATTAGCCTTTCGTCTTGCACACTACAGAATAATTAGGAGCCAAAAACATGTTTAAAACTCATGACATGTCAAAGGTACAAGGACATTTGAAAATGACCAATTATCTTAGGTTATAAAATACTCCATTCTTTGAGAGTTCTTGCAAAGGTTGCCTTATTATTTTGAATTTTAAATGTAAACATGTTGAAATTATGCCTTTCATTCAGACCTTTCATGGTGGTGTCTAAAAGAATTGGTAGAAAGGCAGAAAGGCCTTACTTCATCAAGTCCATGCTCCTGGAAAACCAGGGCACTTCCTTTTCAAATCTTGTCTGTATTAAAGAGTGTTTGGAAAGGGCTGAGAGTAACAGACAATTATAGTGCCAGTATTCTTGTTTAACTGTGTTCAACATACTTTCATCCACACAAAGGTCCAATGTAGGATATAGGTAAGGAATGTACTATAACTGTAAACAGAGCAAACCAAGATCTTAGGGACCAATTATGTCAGAAATAATGCAGGGGAAATGTGGTCACCTACTCTAGTGAATGCCCATGGCTGCTGTATAGCATGACTGATGTCTTATTCTTAGAATTGAAGAGACAACAGTTACCACAGAGGAAAGTTAAAAAACAAAAACAACAGCATGTTCTTGATGTGGAATCACATTTAACTGCTGGCACTACATTTGCTGCTGTTTTATTCAGAATGTGCAAAATTTTATATGGTAATAAAATTTAATCTTTTTCTTACAACTGTGAATCCTGTTCCTTCTACCAACATAGTTTTGTCCTACCTCGGTGGAAAACTATTATTTACACTTACAATGCACCATTAATCCCCTAATATTCAAGCTCTGTAACATTTTTCCCATGATAGGAAACATAATTTTGAGTATAGATAATCACTATGTCCTGGGATAATTATGTAGGTAGAAAAAAAGTCCCAGAGAAGTAGTGTTCAGATACACCCTAAAGCCTGCATCATTGCTGTATGCTAGTATTCTTATTTCTTTTTTGTTGTTTAGAGACATGGCCTCATCACTATGTAGCCCAGGCTCACCTTGAACTAGCAATCCTGCCTCAGCCTCCTTAATGCTGGGATTACAGGTGGGCCTCCATACTCAGCTATTAAATATTTCTAAATGTATTTCGTTTGTGTGCCAAACAAGACATGTAAAATACACCTTAATTTACATAAAGTAAAAGTACAAAAATAGGAATATGACATAAAGTGGGCAATAAGTATAAAAATAACGTCTCTGTTTTTGTTTCTGGAGTGCTCCATGCAATAATTGAAAAAGATTAATGTCAATTTTCTCTTAAGAATGAACATACACAATGGGATTTTTTTTTTGTACATAACAGAAACCTCATATATTTACCCTCATAACATTTTTGGTAATTTATACTTGTGACCACTCCCTCTGGAACTGAATTGAACACCACTGAAAATTTGGTGTATTTGTCAAGAGTGGTGATGTCATATACTACAGTGTTTCTTACATAAAGAGGCTTTCTGTTGGAAGCAGTAGACTGCCTAAACTTCCAGAAATGACTAGAGAGCAGGGAATGGTGACTACCTTGTGTTTTGAGGGGCTGGAGTGTGGGTACCTGAATGTGTTTTGAACTTCAAGCTCCTATCAAAGGATTTACCACCTTACCCAGCTGAGAACAGGAAGAGGTGATGGTGAGATTGAAGAGGTATCTGGAGTCCTGTTTTAGTACAGCCCTGAATGTCTTCTCTTGGTACTTAGGACTTTTTGGTTGGGAAAAATACAAATTTTCATCATGCTAACAGTTTATTACCATATTCTTTTTAATGTCACATGCATAGCTGTCATTCCATAATATGACTGTCAAAAATGGTTTTGAAATACTGTTTAGATTGATTGCCTAATGCATTTTTATAGTAGTTTAGTGAAAATGTGTGGAAATGATTATTAGAAAATAAATATGATTAAACCATTTCACTAGAAGAGTATTTCCAAAGGTATAAAATCCTCAATTTTGGGTTATATTAAGCAGTATGTTACATGGCTTTATGTTCAACTTCAGAACAATTGTTTTATAATAAATGGATTTTTGTTACAATTTCCCCCATATGCATAGTACAAATTATATAATGTAGATTTCTTCCATTGATTATTCCAGTGAAATATTTAGGGGATTCATAAATGTTTGGTGACCAAATTTTGTAACAAAGTGTACATAGGCAACAAAGTGTACATAGGTGCTCTGTAATTATGAAGAGGGAATATTCCTTTAATTCTTCAAATCAATGGAAGGACTGACAATACAAGATGCTCAACTGAAGTCTCTTAATGCAGGAGTTGGCTAAAATCAGGTGCTTGAACATCTGCTGCAAGGAGTTTAGCCTGCACTGGAAGAAGTAAATGAATATATAATAGTAAGAGAGACATCTCTATTGTCAAATCCCTTAGGCTGCTTGGTCACTTCCCACTGGCTGGTGTCCCTATTCAGAGCTAGAAAATATGGAAACAAAATTTCATAGTCCAGAGAAAAAGAAAAAGACTTGATGACTAATCACACTATGGTTTCCTAAATTATTTTTCACTTTTTTAAACTTTTGTGCTGAAATGCAGAATCTAAATAGCCTGTGAGTTATCAGCAGAATGCTCTAAAACAAATAATACATGAACGTGACCATCAGAAAAATTCCTCAGAAGCACTACTCTGCCATTCCTTTCTGCCTTGGTCTCTTTCTGTCATTTGTAAGATCAGTTGTTATGATTAATAAAAAGGAGACAGTAGCGTTAGAGAATCTTTTGCCCTTAGAAAACCAATGTTGCTGCACCTAAATGCTCCTGGGAAAAATGGATGGATAACACTGAAATCCCAGGGTGTATAAGGATTATCTCACATGATTGTTTAGGTTTCCAGTACAGTTTTCTGGACAAGTGCACACAAGGAGCCTTGTTAAGCGTATAGTAGATATTCAAATGACATGGCTTGTATGGACGGATGGATGTTGCTTCTGAAAGGGAAGACAAGCTAAAATAACAAAGCTTAATGTTCTTTCTTTTAAAGGAGAAACCTCTCTGTCTAGGCATTTAGTTTAGAAAATTGTAAGCTCTTTTTCTGCCCTTTGAAACATACATAAAGGTTTTCAGAAGCTAAATAAGGCTCTTAGTAATTTTACAGATCAACAATATTTGACTGCAATCTTAGCTATTGCCTGTGAGGCGTATCACATTCTAGCTAAGGCGTATTTAGTAATATAACTGCCTTCTTTCTCTACTACCTTTGTGGGTAGGATTTCTGAGTTGGGAGGCGATTTTATTTTTAGTTACATTCACTAACGCCACCTACTTGGAAAAGAACTTAAGCTATTTCCTACTTGTTAGGAGGAAAACGTTTCAGCTTCCAACACTGGAGGCATTCACAGCTCTGATCTTTTACCCTAACTAGTTGAACCATTAACTTCAAACCCCAAGGAGGCAAATCTGCTCCACAGGTCGCCCAAGAATGCGAGAACTGGGCAGTCCCCTGTGGCTGGCTGTCACCCAGGGCTGGACACGCAGAGGGGCGGGGACTTCTGCCTCCAGATCCCGCCTCCTCACTGGCCCCTCCCACCTGCCGCTATTCCTGTCCAATCGGGGCCACGGTCCGCAGCCCGCTCTCCTATCGCCCCGCCCTTCTCCCCGCCTGAATCAGCTGCGCATGCGCAGTTTCCTACAGACCCGGATGGGGGCCAAGCTGGAGAGGGGCAGAGTTGACCGGTGAGTCCAAGTTCCATCTCGTCAAGCCTGTGTTTGGCTTCCCCTCCTCCCGACCACCTGTACACTCCTACTGGGGTTCGGAGCCACCCCACAAGTTGAAGCCAACTCCAGCTGCCCATCCGCTCTCTGCGTGTCTGGTCGGCTTCTGCTTAGGGTTGAAGCGGGTCGCGCCCGGGCCAATGCTTAGAGTTGAAGGTGGACGCCGCCGCTGAGCGGTTGTCTTGCCTGACCTTTGTGACGTCATCCGGTGTCTGTGACGGGA